ACATTTGAACATTTTCAGCTTCTTCTCTGCAACCACTGAACCAATTTCAGCCAAATTTGTCACAAAACATCTATGGGTGAAGGGGAACAAAAATTGTGAATTTCATGATCCCTGCCCCCCTGGGGCCTGAGGGGTGGGGCCAAAACCACTAAAATTAATGGAATCTTTAAAAATCTTCTCCTTTACTCCTGAACAACAAGCAGGCAAACTGTTTGCATGTTTGTAATCAGCAATGAGTCCTCTACCAAAAGTGTGAAATTCATGGCCCTAGGGTCAGGGGTTATAGTTCTAGGGCGGGGCTAAATAAGTAGGTAGTGAAAATGCATTATTTCTTTGAAAATCTTTTTCTCTGCTCCTGGGTATTAAATAAACCAACTAAGTACATAGTTATGATGAGCAAGAGTGCCTCTACCAAAATTGTGAATTTTATGGCCCGAGGGTCAGGGGTTCAGGTGTTAGGGCGGGGCTCTATTGCTTATACATAGTGAAAATACATGAATTCTTTGAAAATCTTCTTCTCAGCTCCTGGGTATTAAATAAACAAATTAAGTACATAGTTATGATAAGCAAGTGTGCCTTTACCAAAATTGTGAATTTTATGGCCCAAGGGTCAGGGGTTCTTGTTTAAGGGGGGGGGGGGCTCTAATGATTATATAGGGAAATGCATGAATTCTTTGAACATCTTATCCTTTGCCCCTGGTTAATATGCTAATGATCTAATTATATATTTAAGGCCAGGATTTTTTTTTAGTTTTTTAAACCCTCCAGTCAAGGTTTTGAATGTTCAAAAAAAAAATAAAACATTTTTTTCTTTCCAAAGTCAAATTTGAGTCGGGATCGAGATTTCAAATTTACGAACTCGCACTTCCGGTTTTAGGGCGGTTAAATAAAGCTATATCTGAGAAGAGCTTGGTTTAGTGTAAAATTCATCAATAAGAGTGCCATTCAAAACGTTTCACCCGTTCAAAAGACAAATAAAATGCTGACGACTTTGTTGCACAATGACATGATGGTGAGATAATTATGTATTCGTTTCAAAAGTAACTGTAAATTATTTTCCTCCCCCAGGTTTTTAACTGCCCCTGATAGCTATTGCATATTGCCAGGGACATTGTTTAGGTATCTATCATAGCTTACAGTCTAAGCATCATTCCTCAGAAAAGGGTTGCTTATGCATCAGGTGTAATGAATAAAACTATGGGAGAAGTGAAATCAAATTTGAGGAAGAACCTGAAGAAATAAAAAGAAATTCAAATATTAAAAGGCAAGAATATATACAAATATATACAGGCATGTAGTATCATTTGTATCAACCAGAAAAATTATTTTACACTTAATTGAAAAAAAATGTTGACCCTACTCCCTAATACTCCCTGTCTGTTTTATGATAGGAATTAATTTTAGGCATCAAGTAAATTTTAGAACAATGTCTACACATTCATATAACACATATTAAAGAAATGAAGATATTTTGAAATATATTTTGATCAACATCACAAAATTTATGTAGTTGGCCCAAACTAGCGGATGATGAAATAAGCAATTAAATGTTCTACTTTCCTATTTGTAAGCATTATGTGTCCAGTGGTAAGAAGCCTATTAGGATAGCATAAATAAAGAATGTACCAATGTTAATAATTGATTTATCAAAAAAAAAATTATTTCCTTCTCCTTCGGGACTTTATTACATGTTCATAACTAAATCTAAACATAAAAAAATGCTGGCCTTATAATGAAGAAAGGGGCCTCTTTCAAAATAGATAATTTCTCAGGGCTATGGGGTCAGGGGTACCAGGGGGGTACTTTGACTAAAAATGAATTAATGCTTTGATATCTGCCCTTTGATAAGCAATGGTGCCTCTTTCAAAATTTGTGAATTTCATGGCTTTTGATTAAAACACGAACCAAATATAATCACTGGAAAGTTGATACATGATACTCAGGTGACCTATAAGGCCCGAGGGCCTCTTGTTTTTCACAGCATCAATAGCCCTAGCCTTGCTAGCAAGCCACCTGACTTGTTTTACATTTGAAAAGTGAATAAGTTCTTTATCTAATATCTCAGCAATTGCCCTAAGTTCCCTCCTCCTTTTTGGGGAGTAGTGATAAAATTTGAAAATACCCTTAATGTTGTCTTCAAATGTGTCACTTAGATACTTCCAACACTTAACAGCATCTAAAATAGATAGTTCTAACTTATGAGGTACACACTGCAGAGCCAAAATATTGGTAAAGTCTTTTTTCATTTGTGCAACAACACCAGACTTTGATCCAAAGATTACAGAAGCACCGTCAAAGTTCGCCATGATGAGAGATGGAGTTCCTTTGTTATCAGGATGAAAATCGATCATTTTCAGATTTAAACCATTTTCCACTGCTGCATTCAGTGCACCCAAGACTCCAGAGGCATCCGATGATTTTACTGCTATAATGTCAATCTGTCTACACACTGGTATCCCAGAAATTGGATGCACATACCTAAATATCAAACAAGAAAATTCAAATAAATATGACTTTTTCAAATTTAACTTGTCATTTAATTTTTTTTCTAAAACACAAAATGCTTTTTCTTTTCTTAAAATAACATATTATTTGAAAAAAAGGCAAAATATTGATGCACTTTACCAAATATTATGTCATCTTATGCATTAAATTACAATTTTGTTATATAGTACTGACCGTAGATAGACAATTTCTTGTTCCAATATTGGGGCATCTGTAGATCCATCAGCAAGTATACTGACACAGTTTGTCATGAGAACTTCATCACAAATTCTTTCTCTTAAAGTCTGTGAAATAGCCGCTATAAAATTTTCACTGGCAATTATATTGTTATATTGACCGTGTATATCTAATCCATTCAAGCTGTTCAATTCATAAATGTACAAATAATCTGAAAATGGTTTTCCATTTCGTGCAACTGCATACGCAGTAATTGAAAAGGACTGTAATTTTTTTCTTCTCCTCTTCAGACAATTTATAAAAAGCTTTGCCTATCTCCGTGTCTTTAATCACGGGTAATAGTTTGTTCCGATATTCTGCGACTGCCTTGTTGTTGTTCTGGTCATTGGAAATGGGATTTTTTTGGGTTAAATAATGTTTACTAACTGTTAAATGTTCATTCGTCTTATCATGTGAAATCAAAGGATCTATCTTTAGATTTGCTGTTCCTTTATACAGGGCACTCGATTTGTTGGCAAATTCAGGAAAACTGCGACAGTACTTACAAAACATAAGTCCATCATCATCCTGATCAACCCACGGATATCGTTCTTTCCAACCTTCTTGAAATGTTCTTTTTCGCTTGTTTTTGTCATATTTTTTATCTTTATTTTCATCAGAATTTTTCCTTTTACCGTTTTCAGCAGCTGAACTGACGAACTTTAAATCAAACAATGTTTGTTGGCCCTTTTTACTCATGGCGCCTTTCCCACCAGGCTGTCAAACTGATGCAATCGAACTGACGCTTGAAATTAGTTTTTATTTAAGAGCAGCAATAAAACGTTATAGTGATGCGATTAGTGCTTTCACAACGTTCGGCACACCTTGGCCATTGTCGTATATTGAAGTCAGGCGAGGTGAGCCAAATGCTTTAAAAGAAAACGAAAGTACACACGAACGAGGTTTTTTTTTGGTTGTTGTTTATTTGTTTTAATATTCCTTATTAAAATAATATTTTTCATTCTCAAAAGTACTGTTCCGATGGACTATTGATAGGTAAGGATTAGCTAGTCCGCCCCCAAGAACTTTAGGTCCCGGACCTCGGACCACCGTATTTTTAAACCCCTGAATATGTATTACAAGGGGTAAATCTAGTACAGGACAGAATTGTCAAAGCTTCTCAGGTGAGCGATGTGGCCCATGGGCCTCTTGTTAATTCTACCCCATGACGGGGCCCTTGCTGACTGGTCAGTTTTCTAGTTTCAATCTCGCCTCAAAAAGAGACTTAAACAGTATTCGATTTTTAGGTCACCTGAGTAACTCAGGTGACCTATTGCGATCTGTTTTCATCCGTCGTTGTCTGTGGTCCATCATTTTCCAGAAGTTTCCTCAATTCAGGTGGAATTTCATCATATTTGAGATACTTTTCTCTTCAGAAAACATAGCACATACTTGCCTATCTAAGATTGTTACACATAAACTGCATCTGATATTAATGTATAAAATATATAAATCTGGAAGATAGGCAAGAGTGTGCTCTTTGTTTTCTGAAACAAAATGTATTGTAAAATCGATGAAAATTTTGATAAAAATGAGAAATTTTGAATATTGACCCATTTCCTGATTTAACAGTGACCTATACATGTATGTTCTAAATATTAGAACCAATACTCAAACTGTGACAAGTTTTTATGGATAAACTGTCGGATCATTCTGAAAGACCCCCAAAATCAGGGGCCAAACACTGGTCTTACCCTATTTTGTCCTTTGCCACAAAGTATACTTGGGTAAGTTTTCAAGTGAAGGACCATGCCCTATTCCAAGGGGAGATAATAATTATTTAGTGAAAAATAATGGCATCTTTAAAAGATTTCACTTGGCTAGGAAAGATAAAAGCATTATCAGGTAGTGTAGATTAAGTTTTGTTTAAATCATGACCCCTGGGCATAGGGTGGGGCAGCAATGCATGTATGACTCCATAATTAGTCCTTAACTGACTGTGTAACTAATAATATGAAATACGATCAGACTGCATCAATTGACCGTCTGCCTTACATGACCCTGATATTCAGGGCCAAAATTTTCTCAGTAATCAGTGTTGACTGTACGTTATATTAAATAGAACTGCTATAAACTTGCTAAATAAATATAGATGTTGATTGTTACTTTGCACACACATGTCTTGGCCATACTCTGGACATCAACAAAATTGCAATTCATACTGCCATGATTTATCAATAACAATTTGGTGGTTTATTGAGAATTGACTCTATTTTTAGCCAATATATATTTATATATACCAGATTTGTGTGTTTATGTGATCATTGATTTATATTCAGGTGAAAAAAGACCTGCAACAGGAAGAACCAGTTTCTTCCCCGCCTAGGAAGAAACTAAGATCCAGCACACATACACTGGAAGAACCTGAGTGTTCATTCATAGGGGATCAAAATCTGTGGATGCAACATATCGGGGAACTTTTCGTTTACCTTGATTCATCCTTGAGCTCAATGGGGACACTTGGCTTCACTATTGAAAAGACTTGGGTAATTTATTTCAAGCTTAAATATAAATTGAGAATAAAATAACTTTTGGCTCAAAAGAAATAAGCCTGATATTTAAAGTCTGCCCTTTTTAGCTCACCTGAGCCGAAGGCTCAAGTGAGCTTTTCTGATCACATTTTGTCCGGCATCCGTCTGTCTGTACAAAAACTTTTCACATTTTTGACTTCTTCTCAAGAACCACTGGGCCAATTTCAACCAAACTTGCCACAAAGCATCCTTGGGTGAAGGGGAATCAAGTTTCAAGGGGAGGTAATTGAGAATTAGTGAAAATTGGGTGGCATGTTTTAAAAATCTTCTTCTCACGAACCACTGTGCCAGGAAAGATGAAACGTATGAGGAAACATCCTCAGGTAGTGTAGATTCAAGTTTGTTCAAATCATGACCCACAGGGGTAGGGTGGGGTCAAAATGGCCGACCAAAGTTTTACATAGAAATATATAGGAAATTTCTTTAAAAATCTTCTTCTCAAGAATGACAAAGCCATAATTCATCATATTTATATGGAGGCATGTTCAGGTAGTGTAGATTCAAGTTTGTTCAAATCATGTTCCCCTGGGGTAGGGCGGGGCAAAAATTGCTGACCAAAGTTTACCTTAGAAATATATAGGAAAATTCTTTAAAAAATCTTCTTCTCAAGAATGAAAAAGCCAAAATTCATCAAACTTATATGGAAGCATGCTCAGGTAGTGTAGATTCAAGTTTGTTCAAATCATGACCCCGGGGGGTAGGGCGGGGTCAAAATGGCCGACCAAAGTTTTACATAGAAATATATAGGAAAATTCTAAAAAAAATTCTTCTTCTCAAGAATGATAAAGCCATAATTTATCATTTTTATATGGAAACATGTTCAGATAGTGTAGATTCAAGTTTGTTCAAATCATGACCCCCTGGGGTAGGGCGTGGCAAAAATTGCTGACCAAAGTTTTGCATAAAAATATATAGGAAAATTCTTTAAAAATCTTCTTCTCAAGAATGACAAAGCCATAATTCATCATATTTATATGGAAGCATGTTCAGGTAGTGTAGATTCAAGTTTGTTCAAATCATGACCCCCTGGGGTAGGGCGTGGCAAAAATTGCTGACCAAAGTTTTGCATAAAAATATATAGGAAAATTCTTTTCAAATCTTCTTCTCAAGAATGACAAAGCCATAATTCATCATATTTATATGGAAGCATGTTCAGGTAGTGTAGATTCAAGTTTGTTCAAATCATGACCCCCTGGGGGTATAGGGCGGGGCCACAATGGCCGACCAAAGTTTTGCATAGAAATATATAGGAAAATTCTATAAAAAAATCTTCTTCTCAAGAATGACAAAGCTATTATTCATCATGTTTATATGGAAACATGTTCAGGTAGTGAAGATTCAAGTTTGTTCAAATCATGACCCCCCGGGGGTCGGGTGGGGCCAAAATGGCTGACCAAAGTTTTAAATAGAAATATATAGGAAAATTCTTTAAAAATCATTTTTTTAAAATAGCAAATCCAGGATTGGCCATGGGACTACTTTTGGATTTAAACTTTACAATAAAAAGCCATTTTCTACTTTTTCCTACCCTTAGTGCTCAGGTGAGCAATGTGGCCCATGGGCCACTTGTTAGGTCACCTGAGTAAACTCAGGTGACCTATTGCTATCTGTTTTTGTCTGTCGTGTGTTGTGCATTAACATTTAAACATTTTCTGCTTCTTCTCTAAAATCGCGGAACCAATTTCAACCAATTTTGGAATATAGCATTATGGGTGAAGGGGAACAAAAATTGTGAATTTTGTCATCGTTGTCCCCCTGGGGCCTGTGGAGTGGGCCAAAAACCACTAAAATAAGTGCAATCTTTAAAAATCTTTTTCTTTACTCCCAGGCATCAAGCAGTCAAACTGTTGGTATGATTGTAATCAGCATTGAGTCAACTACCCAAATTGTTTAATTCATAGCCCTAGGGTCAGGGGTTCTGTTGTTAGGGCGGGGCTCTATTGATTATATAGTGAAAATGCTTAAATCTTTGAAAATCTTCTTCTCTGGTCCTGAGTATTAGATAAACTATTTAAGTACATAATTATGATGAGCAAGAATGTCTCTACATAAATTATAAATTTTATGGCCCCAGGGTTGGGGGTTCTGGTGTTAGGGCAAGGCTCTATTGATTATATAGTGAAAATGCTTAAATCTTTGAAGACCCAAGAACCAAACTGTCTGCCTGAGGCAGTAAGAACGAAGGCAGACAGTTTGGTTCGAGGGTCCGACAAAACGCAATTTGCCTGAGAAATCTGTCAATGAATGTTTTGTTATACCTGTTTTATGTATGATATATACATATTAAAAAAAAGTTTTCCAAATTTTTTTTTCAAAATCCCGAGTCAATCTCCAGAGGACGATACTTTAATTCAAACAATCGAGAAGAGAAAAACGACTTTTAAAAATCGGAATATTGAAGCAAAGTAGTGAGGTACCTGAATACTGGACCCGTACGTGGTTCGAAAATGGTTATGTACTAGGCCTATGCACAAACATGTAAGCAAACGATAATGACTTTCGACAAGAGAACCATTTATTTGTTACTCTGTATTTCTTCAACTTACAGAGACAAAAAACGACCCGATTGTCGAAGTCTTTTAGTTATCTTGTATTTGAGACAATGAATCTTCCATGCCATCTTTGTTGTTAGTTGTACTTTCGGTTTGACGAATCATCTAAATTTAAACTCTCCTTCGATCATGAATCCCGGAAAATAACTGAACATCGTATATTTATGCCTTTTATTTGGAAATTAATGTACCTTTTTTTAACGGTAAGTGAAATCGACGTCAGGCATTTTTGATAGAATAAGCGTCGGGCGCGTTTGACGTAATAACGTCACAAACGAGAATAACGTCACATAACGTTATTTTACGTGGTATGGATCTTTTCCTTAAATAAACTAACTAAGAACATAGTTATAATGTGCAAGAGTGCTTCTTCCAGATATGAAGATTTTATGGCCCCAGGGTCAGGGGTTCTGGTTTTAGGGCGGGGCTCTGTAAATCATATAGTGAAAATGCATTATTTCTTTGAAAATCTTCCTTTCTGCTTCTGGGTATAAAATAAGCAAATAAAGCACATAGTTATGATGAGCAACAGTGCCTCTTCCAGATTTGTGACTTTTATGGCCCGAGGGTCAGGGGTTCTTGTGTTAGGGTGGGCTCTATAAATTATATAGTGAAAATGCATTTATTCCTTGAAAATCTTCTTCTCTGCTTCTGTGTATTAAATAAACTAAGAACATACATGTAGTTATGATGAGCAAGAGTGCCTCTTCCAGATTTATGAATATTCTGGCCCCAAGGCTAGGGGTTCTGGTGTTAGGACGGCCCTCTATTGATTATAAAGTAAAACTACTGTAGAAGTACTTTTTTTCGCGTGGTATTAATTTATGCTATGAATGCGGTCAAAAATTTTCTGTGGATATTTGTCCAAGCGTAGTTAATATAAATGTAAGGCATATAGTGACAGTCTTAAAAATCCGCTTAATTTTCTACCCGTGCATTAAACAGAAATTGAAATTACACAGAATTATGACCCTGTGGGAAAAAAGTACGTCTACAGTACATTAATTCTTTAAAAATATTTTTCTTTGCTTCTGGGTTTTATGCCAATGATCCAAGTCTATATATATATTTATGATGAAGAAAGGTGCATCTAGCAAATAAATTTAAGGTGCTTTTTTATGCCCCCAGGGTCAAAGGGGGGGGGGTCATAGTCTGAAAATAAATTAATGCTTTGAAATCTGCTCTTTGGTATTAATCAACCATTTTATGATAAAATTTGCAAAATTTTGAAATATGTGGCCCATGGGTCAGTGGTGCCTTTAAGGTGAGATGCACAACTGGGTATAAAGTGTAAGTGCATTTTCTCTTTGTTACTCTGATCTACCTCTGGGTATTAAGTACATAGAGTATGCATGCTAAGTAAATAATTATGAGGAGCACTGGTGCCTCTTTCAAAATTGTGAATTTCATGGCCTCTGGTTTAAAACACAAACCAAATTCAACTGTTTGAAAGTTGTTACACAATAAATACTCAGGTGACCTATAAGGCCCGTGGGCCTCTTGTTTTTCAAGTTGCAGTGCTCAGGTGAGCAATGTGACTCATGGACCTCTTGTTATATAAGGGACAAAAGTTCACTTAATTTTTTTTTTAATTTAGGTACGAGTAACATACCTTGAAGTGACTAAGTCTGCTTGGAGCAAAATTAAAACCACCCCCGGTAATAAAACTGGATCTCTGAAATATGAGGAAGGGGAGCAGCCTAGATTTTTCTACAGTAAACGATACAATTTTTTAAATAGAGAAGATCGTAAGGTCTTGTTCAAAGCACTCGTTCTCATTAAGATTATGCAGGAGAGACGAGACAAAGATGATCAAAAATAGAATTGGAAAACTAATCTATAAAAAAATTGATGGATGGTAAAGGAGCTACAGTTCCTTGTGTGATAAAAGTACAATTTACAGTACACAAAATATCTACAGGTACTCGTTTTGGACTGATAATTTTTTTTCACAAATAATTGCACAGAATGTGAAAATAAGGTGAATCATCCAAAACTAGCTCAAATTTTTGTGCAAAGTAAATTGCAAGTTTTTAACACATAGAAACTATAACTCCCAGGTTGTCTGATTTTTTTTACCTGAAATTATAGACCTGCAGCTAGCTTATAGAGCACATTATAAAGGTAAATAAATGTATGTATCTTGTAATATAGTTTTAGATTTGACAATTTTTTTTATACTTGTTGAAATTCATGAAAGAGAAATATTGCAATTTTTATGCCCCCCTTTGAAGAAGGGAGGGCATATTGCTCTGCTGCTGTCTGTCGGTCAGTCGGTCTGTCGGTCCATTTAGTTTCTGTTCATTTTCTTCAAAACCATTGCACATACTGAAATGAAATTTGGTATACAGGTATATCAGTTGAATATCTAGGTCAAGTTTTGTTTTGGGTATAATAGCACCATGTTTTACAGAGTTATGCCCCTTGGACTTAGAAAAATTCCAATTATTTGCAGTTTCCGTTCATTTTCTTTGGAGAGGTTGCACATATTGAAATGGAATTTAGTATGCAGATTAGTCAGATGAATATCTTGGTCAAGCAATGTTTTGGGTTTGATCACACCATTTTTGACAGAGTTATGCCCTTTTGGACTTAGAAAAATTCCAATTTGTGTGTGTGCGGGGGGGGGGGGGGCATAAGTGTTTTACAAACATCTCTTGTTGTGAAATACTTATGGTAGATGGCTGCCATAGTCCACTCCCATTTAATACTACAATGCCAAAGGTAAAAAAGGGTCAACAATGCAGCAACTCAAATAAAAATGTGGACTGATATAAGAAGGTATCCCACAGCAGTTGTCTTGTTGTCTTAAGCTTTCTCAAGAACCACTGGGCCAATCTCAATCAAACTTGCTACAAAGCATCATTGGGTAAAGGGGATTTAAGTTTGTTTAAATAAAGGGCCACAATTCTTTAAAGGGGAGATAATAATGCTTTTGTGAAAAATTAATGGCATCATTTTAAATTCTTCTTAAGAACCACTGTGCTTGAAACTAAGAAACATGGAATCATTGTGTGGTGGTTTTTGTTCAGGTATTGGCCCCTGAGGGTTGGGTAAAGCCACAATAGCGGAGAAGATATTTTATAGGAGTACTTTAAAAGAAAATCCTTAGACATCTTTCAAGAACAGCAAAACAGTGATTGATGATATTTATATGGAAGCATCCTCAGGAAGTGTGGATTCAAGTTTGTTCAAATCTGGAATGGTGATCCAAGTTTAACAGTCACCCACCTTGTTAGAGCGTGTACACTAAAGTTGCGAAGTAAGGAGTTGATCCTTCTGTTGCAGGTTCCAATCCCACTGTGGGACATGGAGATCAGTCCTTGGATGAGACAGTACAAACTGAAGTCTCACCAGTGCTATGTCGCAGTAGGTGCTGACCCCCCTGCTCAATGACCATGAGTGCCAAGTATAGGAAAAGATTTGCAGCTCCCGATTGGTGTCAACTCTTAATGAATAAAAAAATTTTGAGAGGGACTTAAAACATTATATATACAATTGAAGTTACTTATGAATAGGGAAATACTAAAAAAATGTCTTTTCAAGAACAGCCAAGCCATGATTGGTCATTTTTATTTGGAAGCTTCTTGGAAGGTAATATAGATTCACATATGTTTAAATTCTAATCCCAGCGTTTAGGGTGGGGCCCAGTGTGGTATCAAAAAGTTGACATATGAATATGTAAGGAAAAACTTATTGAATTTTCTGAAGAACAGCAAAGCTATGCTTAATGAAGCTTTCTCAGAAAGTGTAGATTTAATTTTGTTTTAATCATGATCTTGGGGATAGGTTGGGGCCACAATTGGCAATCAAAGTTTTACAAGGATCAAAATAGCTTATGTAAGCAAACTTATGCTCAGCATTTGCAGTCATTGGTTTCATTTTATTTTATCTTCTTATTGAGCCACAAGCAACATCCTTTATTTTGCAATATTTTAAGTTGTATAAAATGGAGTTGATAAAAATTATGATTTATACTAGCTGAAAAATGTAATATATACATTAAGTAAGCATTTTCTGATTAGGTAACTTTGATTGTAGAAAATTTATATTTTGTATTGAATCATTTGTTGTTGGGAGTGCAACATTTCCTTTTTAATGTCAATAAAAACAAATTTAAGGTATAATATATGTAGTTGCATGTCAACTGAAGGTTAAATATCCCTCTGCTCTATAAAAAAAACTGTATATTTTTTTACCTCTACTGATCATAGACCAGAAGAGCTTATGCGATAGTAATGCATCTGTGTATGTTTCTCTAGGTTTTTGTCTGTCTGTAAACAATTTTTTATCAAAATACTACTCCTCCTACAGTTTTGGTCTGATTTCAATATAACTTGGCGCACAAGTTGACTACACTACAGTACATATTTCTGTGTAACAATTTTTGGTTCGATGAACGGTGTTAGCATTGTTAATAAAATTGAAATTCCTGTGAAAATCATTCTAAATGCAACTTGTCCTACAGTTTTGGTCTGATTTCAGTTTATTTTGGCACAAAAGGAGACTACACTAAGAGAAACAATTCTGCATATCGGTTTTTGACTTGGATGAACATTATTGCATTGGTCACTAAAAGTAGAAATTCCTGTTAAATGCTCTCAAAATGCTACTCCATATACTGTTTTAGTTTAATTATAATATATTATAATATAATGTGGCATGCAAGTAGACTACACTAAGAACATAAAGAGAGATAATCAAGGACCATCATTCTATCTATTGCAGTTGTAAAGTTTCAATTTCCAAGTTAAGTACTTTGCTCTTCCTTTGCTATAAGTACAAACCAGTAGAGCTTCAGTCTCGACAGAGACTTCTGGTTTTTTCATCTCACCCGAAAATTAAAAATATAATGTATTTAAGAAAACAATATGTTAAAATAATAAATGATAGTTAAAAATATATATATACTGAGCAAAATAAGTTTAGCAATTGCTTTTCCGTATGTATGATTTAAAAATATTTTTCTTAATTGTTTTATTATGCTTCTTCTAAAAAACAATAGAGAAAAAGAGAACAAAAGACAGAGTTCTTTTTTTAATTAGACACGCAGAAACCGCTTCATCCAACGTTGTGACAATTCAATAAAACAAAAGGTTACGCTCGAACGCACATGGTTAGGGAACACTTTTTTACTAGAAAATTATTCTGAACATGCTTGTAAGAGAAAACTGGTGAAAAAATGCAAAAACGTCTAATGGCAAAAACAACAGGACTTTCCGAAAATGAACGTTAAAGAACTATAGGGATGCTAACAATTGGTTGCTCATAAAAAGATGTCGCTGAACACTTTTGCTTGCATCAGTCCACCAAATGTTGACTTTCGAACTGATTCCGAACGACTGAACACGTAATCAATCGCTAGCGCTTAGAACGTCAACGAAAAACGACGGTTAGCAATGATTGTTTAACTGTTACAACGTCGAGACGTTACAGTTTTATGGCTGCTCCGTAAGATGCAGAAGAGTTATGTCGTTTTACTGGAGTGAGGTTATGCGTACAATTTGTAGGAAACAGGCTACGTTCAGCCATTTTTCGAGCTCAAAGACCTCTCAAAGCACTATCACTTACTCAACGTCATCAACAATCACGCATCGCAGGGGCAAACATAAATCATCTTGGACTTAACAAAAATATTGCCTTTTCTTTGTTAGATGAAGAGAATTTAACATTTCAAGTTCATTATAAATTATTGGTCTACCTTTTTCTACTTGATATATTAAAAATCTTTAATTGCTAAACTTATTTTGCTCAGTATATATTATTTTAAAGTAAAATGATATATTATGTACCTATCTAAATCAGTTTGAAGAACATAACAAATCATTGTTTTATAAATCAGAATATCAAATTTTTTTCTGTGCATGTAAAATAAAAAAAGAAACAAAAATGTATCAATCTACAAGATTTATTTGCGTATTGACAGGACTTACTGTTCTTCAAAATATTTTTATGAAAATAAATCTGATTGTAAAAAGTCTGGCTAGTCTGCATTTGAAATCAATATTTGTAACTTAATTTGGATTTGAATGAGTTAACTATACTGTAACAAGGATATTCATTATTAAACTCTGCTAAAACTAATCATTGGATTTTAAATTCCTTGTTACCTCTTATCAGAGGGATATAAAACCTTAAAGAATGTTTTGTTTAGCAAAAGAGAATGGTTTTAGTTAGATTTATAAATACTTGTAGTATATATATGTATTACCATAAATGTTCATCTTAAGACAATTGACACAGCAATATTGCAAAATTTGTTATTTTAAAATTAACTTTCAAATATTTTTATATTTTTTTTTTGTTTCTTAATTATACATTACAAATGCAGTTTAGGTTTTTCTCTGTGATATATGGATTAGTACACACATTAAATTAAATTAATATGATTGAATATTTCATTAATGTATGTATATACTGGAAATGGAGTAATTTAATTTATTTATGGTATTTTTTTTTTACACTATTGCCTCAAGATATGTTTCATAATGAATGAATTGATTTTTTAAATTCATTTTTGCTCACAATCATATATTTGTCTTTACATTTTCAGTTTATTTGTGGTAATTTGTAAACTATCTTGTATAATTAAAAGAAAAAAAACGTTTATGTAATTTTCTTTTGAAGTATTGCATAAAATGGTTGCACATTTTTAGGTCACCTGAGTAAACTCATTTAAATATCAGCTTCTTCTCAGCAATTGCTTTAGGTGGAATGGCACACCATTTTTTTTAAATTGGATATATTTTTGAGTCATCCTTTTTAATCAAAGGTTTCAGTATTGAAAGGTCGATATTAGTCTTAATTATTATATATGAATTTTTTTTGTATTTAAAAAAAATGAGAAAAAAATAATTATATCCAACTAAGATGTTTTCAAGTAAAAAGTTGTAAATGAATGTATCATATTAATATCTAGTGAAATATGTAGAGAAAGGCTGGTAAGACTTTTATATTTTTTTTTTTTATAAAAAAAAAGTTGTTTATGAAATTGAAACACATTGATTGTGAATATCTTTTAAACCTATGGTTAAAAACACCGTAAAACTAGTCACAACTGAGAAGAACATGTTTGTCAATCATATTTTAAAAAGGAATTGAAACGTAATTGATACATTTTAGAGAATTATTTTTTTTTTTATATTTGGACCTAACCTGATCAAAATTAAACTTATCCCGATCAAAACACAAAATGAATAAACTACTAATTTATTGCCTCTTCATGTATTTACAGTAAAGAAATCTGTTTATTGTTAAGTTTGATAATGTTTTAACCCTTATTACCAAATCAGACTTGTGTTCTCGAGGAAATGTTATGTTTTTCCAATTCTTGTACAATTATGGTTGGGATCGGTTAATTTTTGATCGGGATTGGCTAAAATTAAAAAAAAAATCTCTAAATTTTCGCTGTTTAGTTTCAATTTCTTTTATAACTATGATTTATGAACATGTTCTCCCCAGTTGTGACTGGTTTAAAGAAAATTTTAACCAAAAATTAAAAAATATTCACAAATTATGTGTCTTACTTTCATAAATATTTTTTATTTAAAAAAAAAATTATTATTTATATGGCTTTTCTCCACATATTAAATTAGATATTAATGTGA